CCCCCAGCCCGGCCTCGGCCCGCAGCGAGGGCAGCCACACCCCGCGGGACAGCAGCTCCCTGTCCAGCTGCACCTCGGGCGTCCTGGACGAGCGCAGCCCGGCCTCCCGGGGCCCCGACAGGGCCCGGGCCCCACTGGCCCGGCAGCCCGACAAGGAGTTCTCCTTCATGGACGAGGAGGAGGATGAGGAGATCCGAGTGTGAGTGAGGGGCTCCCGGCGGGGCTCCGTCTCCTCCCTGCCCCCGGGGCCGCCGCCCCCTTCCCTGCCCCGTCCCGTGCAGGGCAGCCAAGAACCCTGGACTCTCCCGGGCGCGGGGAGCTGGCAGGGGCCGCAGGGTGGACGCAGCCCTGCTGAGCGCTGGGGGACAGGAACCTTTCCTCCGCCCCGGCCTCAGGTGGATGTCACTGGCGGCCAAGTTCCTGCCTCGTCTGGCCGCCGCAGCTCAGCCCCGCGGTGGCCGGGGGCCACGGCTAAGGACGCTTGGCTCACCTTCCCTCTCCTGGCGTTTCTGCTGCGACTGGTGGCGTGTGGCAGGAGGAAGGGTGGTCACGGCCCCCGGCCCCTCCGTCCCTCATCCCCAGCTCCTGCACCACAAGCCTGGAGCCCCTCGGAGCAAAGCCGGACCAGATGTGTGCACTAAACGCAGCCCCTTCCAGGGGACAAGAACGGGATGGGGAACGAAAGGAGGCCCCGGGCTTCTTGAATTTTCTAGAAGGGGCTCTTTCCAGGATGACACTAGGAACAGGCTGGGCGCTCACTCGCTCGGTCGCTGTTGATTTGTTTGTTCTTCTTGTTCTTCTTGTTTAAATCCTTCCAGAGCGGTATCTGGAACAGTGTTAGCAGGTCTGCCGCCAGAAGGAAAATCAGATCCTTTTAGAAAACCTTTATACTAAGTGCTTCCAAACTTTATTTAGAACTGTATGGGGTGGGTGTCCGTGCATGTCTGTCCCTCCTCCCACCCCATAGCTACTAACAATTGAAGGCAGCCGGTGTAGAAAATTTCTGGAAGATGATTTTTTAAAAAAAAATATATATCATTCCTATGGAGGGATAAAAAGCTTTTTTGACTGGATTACCCCCCCACACACACACACACTACTTCCTCTTCCTTCAGGCCTTTTCTGCCAGCAGGACCCCCTCCCCCACTCCTGAGGGCCCTGAGGGTATAGAGTTGCCAGGTTTAACAACAGAACAAAACTAGAATGCTGACATAAATTAGAATATCGGGCATACAGAGGATAATTTTTTAGTATCTAAGTATGCCCTGTGCCACGTTTGGAACATACTTATGCTAAACAAAAAAAATGATCGGTTCTTTTGAAATTCGAATTTCACTCTGGCCCTCATAACCCTGCGCCAGGGGATTGAGTGGGAGCTTGGGTGCGTGGCCCAGGGTTAACGGATGCTGATTTTCCTGTCCTGGGAATAAGCTAACCCACCTTCTCCTGTCCCCTTGTAGCGGTGTGGGGAGGGGACAGACACAAGTACCACGGGCCCCAGGCCGGGGCCGGTGGGCGGAGCTGCTCTGGTCTGCCGTGTTTTGTCAGATCCTGATCCAGACGCTAACTTAGTTCCTGATTCCAGCACTGTTTCTAGTAGCGCAGCTCCCGCTAGGGGAGGAATGAGAAGGGGCCCTGCAGCCCCAGCCAGCTACCCTTGAAACCCGTGCAGACCCAGTGGTCAGTTCCAGATTCTAAACTGTATATTTTTTTCATGGTATTGTTAAAACAGTGAGGAAACATTAAAAAAAAAAAAAAAAAGCCCTGTGGCACGCCGGGTGTCTGTCTCTGCTTCTGGGGAGAGCTGTTTCGAGAGGTGGGTGGGTGGGGGTGAGGGTGCTGGAGGGGGGGGTCCTGGGCTACCTGTGTTTTCATGGCACTCGGGGCCTGAGGTGGCTTCTCTCCCTGTCCCTTTGGGGCCCTCCCCTCCTGCGCTGTTCCCTAGCCTCTGGAAGCACAGGGCTCATGTGCCCGTCAGGCCCTGGGGGCTCTGGGATTGTGGTGCCCACCCCCTGCCACTTCCCAGTTGGGGGACCTTGGCTACCTAGTCCCTTAGCTGCTCATCTGTGATACAGGAATCCTGCCTCTCTCAACAGGGCTGGGCTGTAGACCTAGTCACTGCAATGGGGTTGGCAAAGTTGTTACTAAACCAGGGGAGGCTGTGTCCCCCCCCCAAGCCCCCAGGTGCCCACATACATGGGAGTGGTCACCCCCGGGGCACAGCGGGTGCCACGGCCGGGAAAGGGGCTGCCGTCCCTTCTTTCCCGGCCTTGTACTGTCTGACCTGGAGAATGACCTTCCAGGCAGCCTGTTCTCTGTCCAGCCTCGTGGCCTTCGAGGTGGACTGTTGTCCCTGTTTTATAGAAGGAATGTGCTCGAGAGGCTGCGTGGCCACCTTCCCCAAGACACGAAGTAGTAGAATCCGAACATCATGGACTTAAAACCCTGTACCTCGCTGCTCACAGGCACCTCGAAGCTTCATTCCTTCCGGAAGTGAGGTTGGGGAGTGAGTCTGTCCTGGGTGGGGATCTCGTGACCCCTCCGGCATGCTGGCCCAGCTCCTGCCTTACCACCTTCCCTTGCCCACACCCACGTTCCCCCCCGCGTTCCCCTCCACTCACCCTCCTTCCCACCTGGGGGCCAGTATGGCTGAGTTCCTGGAAACCCTGCCTCTCGCCTCGAGCAGCCACAGAGAGATTTGGGCTTGTGCTCATCCTCCCTGGGAAGCAGTTAGAAGCATAATTAAAGTGTCTCCCGGGTCCCTTTGCCCCTTCGGGGGCTCACTCTCAGCTATTGAGGGATGTGGCTGAGGGTGGGGGTTAGAAGCAGGGTGGGGTGGGGGGACAGGGTCCCTGGGGGCTGCAGTCCAGCCGCAGCACTACTAGGGAGAGGAATGTGCTGTTCACTGAAGCCCAGGCAGGTGCCTCCCAGACCGTGGAAACCCCCTGGGCCCACCCGCAACCCCTCACCCAGGATTCTTGAGGGCCTGAGAGAAGCCAGCCACCCTGAGGCCACAGACCTGCTTTTGGACTCTTAGAACAGTGCCTGCCAGGCAGGAAGACCCAGGGGCCTATGGAGAGAGCTGGCTGGACCCACACCTTTAGGAGCACGCTTTCTAGCTGGGGCTCCGTGGACCCACCAGAGGATGGGATAACCGGGCAGAACCAGCCTAGCCACACCAGCTCTAATCCCAGTTTGCTGTGTGGCGTTGGGCCACTGATTTTTCCCTCTGGGTGGCTTCAGTTTCTCCATTTTAAAGTTAGTCAACAGCTCGGTTGTGTTCAACTTTCTACCGGAAACTTGACAATGAGATCGTGTGTTGAACCCCTATCCATAAACAGACTGAGCCAGAGACTCCCCAGATGGGTTTGGGGGGGGCGTCCTTACTCTCTCCCCTTTGATCTCTGAGGTTCACCTGAGAACCCCAGGTCCCCTTCAGAGCATTTCTCCCCTTAAAGATGTGCTGTGGGGTCCCTTCTACCTCCAGGAACCCAAAGCAGGGGCCAGGAACTGCGTCCGGGCAATAATTTCGTCATTTTAATTCAGGTCACAGCTAACATTTCCAAAAATGTGGTGGGCCCCCAAAGTCTCCTGCTCCGGGCAGGGCTGTAATCCTAGCCTAAGGCGCATGAGCACCAGCCCACCCTGGTCCGGCCATCATTGGGGTGTTTCCCCTCCACCCCTGTGCCCTGCAGCTTCTCAGGCACACGCTGTTCTGTCCCATTACTGCGGTGAGGGCTGGGTGTCAACCATTAGGACCGCCCTGTGCCCAGCATGGGCCTTTGCATTGGCCCTATTTATCCTCATGACAACTCTGGGAGGCCCATTCTGTCTGTATTACCCCCATTCTACAGACGAGAACACGAAGGCGACTGGGCACAGTCTCCAAAGCCCCTCTTCCCCACCACTGTCCCAACCTGATGAGTTGCACTCCGGGACCCGGGATGACCAGTGGGGCCAGTGAGCTGGCTGAGCAGAGCGGCGCAGGGAGACGCCGAGCTGGTCGGGGTGTGCCTGGCTCGCCTGGGCTGCGTGCCCCAGGGAAAGGGGGTGCTGCTTGCTGCCGGGTTAGGAGCTGGTGGCTGCTGATTCACGTCATCCAAAGGGCCCGCCAGGAAGTGCGTAGGTCCTTCCTGGGGTCCCTCAGGGCTGGCCTCTGTCTCTGCTGGGCAGGACCAGGCCTCACAAGCCTGCAGCCTCGGGTCTGCGTTCCTGCTGGTGTTCAAGCTCACCTTTGACTCCGTTCTCCCATGTGCACAAGCCATTGCCCCCCTACACCATGCTTCCAGAAGAAAGATAGTGGACGAAAGGAATAGAGCGTGTCAGAACACATGAGGGAGGAGTTCTTAAGATCTTTGAATTGTAGGGCCTGGTTCCCTCTCCACCCACCCCCGCCCGGCATTTTACAGATGGGCAGACAGAGGCTGCAGGGAAGAAAGCTGGCTGTGTCCCGTGAGCAAAGCAGAGCAGAGACTGAGGTGGACTGGACTGGACGGGCTCTGGCACAGCAGACGAGGGGCAAGCCGAGCTGGTGCATCGTGTGGGCGCAGGTGCTCAGTGTCCGGAGTGTGTTAGTGGTGGGGGTGGCTGGGGGGGGGGCTGAACTTTTCAGGTGTAGGTGGCACACCCCACCCATCCCTGGCTCACCCCAGCCCTCACAACAGCCTCCCAAAGGGCCCCGCCTTTGCATACTGGGGCAGGCCCCCCCCCACCC